TGGTCACCTTATATGTACCCATACAACATTTTAATGATTTTATTGACATATGATTCACATATCATACAACAGTTCAATAATATTAAGAGGAGTTGTACAATCATCACAATCAATTTTAGAAAATGTTTGTGTTAGACTAGGCTGACTAGAGAAACAAATTCGTAGAGACTCATATGTGCTTAAGAAAGAGGTTCATATACAAGAGCAACTGAACATTGAGAAAACATCCCAGCCCAGTCCAGATGAAGTCCATAGTCTGATATTAGCCATATGTCCAATACCAATCTATAAAGTCCTCTTCAGATTCACGAAACACATGCAATGATGCTGAATGCAGGATGATCACAGGCCCGTGGGTAGAAAGGCTTATGGATCCAGTGTAAGCATCTCAGCACCAGCAGGGGTCTCCACATGGCTTCTGCAGCTCTGGGACTGGCTGTTATCAGCCAGTCTCCAAGTGGCTTGTCAACTTCAACAAGAATGTCTTGCAGGGACTGAGCATGTGGCCCGCCTCCAGTGAGCTCTTTATCTCCTTAGCTCCTCCAAATGAGGTCATCAAGCTATGACCTGATTGCCAGGCTAGACTCCACCCCTTCACTCAGAATTCTCAAATTGACACCAGAGTATGTAACTACCACAATTTTCTTTTCTTGTACTCATTGTTATTAGCTCCCGATTTCCCCCAAAACTCCCCTGCCATGCCCCCAAGAAACCATTAATCCAATTACTATCGATAGATTTACCTATCCTGGATTTCATATACCAAGAAATGTACCAATAATAATAATAATAAAGTAAAACAGAAAAGCCCCAATCTAAAAGAAAGCAGAAAATATTAAAAAGTAGAACAAATTTAAAATGGGTCAAAGGGGGAAAGTTTTTTAATAGGATAACATGTTCAAATGATAGCATGTTAAAGTTTAACCTAACTGCATCTGCAATAATACACTTTTCAATGCAGTCTGCATGATAGCCAAGCTAGTCACATCCCTATTGTATGGACAGAGGGTATTCACCAGAGGCTTAAGCCTCATTTACCAGTATTTCCCCTTTACTGTTTTTTAACTGAAACAACTTTAAAATGGGTCAAAAAGGAGATCAAATGATAAGATAGTACATTTTAACCTAACTACATCTGCCATAATGACTTTACAATGCTCAAGGCTGTTCGAATCCCTTAACTGTGGTCAAAAGGGATTCACTCGAGGCTTCATACATGTGTGGACCCTACAAATGGATTTGCGGCTGCCATTGTCATCCATAGCCTTCTGCAAACCAAATGTTCCGAAATTCAGTTCTGATACCATTCCCTCCTTCGAATTTGGATTTTATTATTTACAATCATTGGATCACACAAGCTGGTGTGCTTCTTCCATGTGAACTTAGTTGAAGCTTCACTTAGATGGTTGCTTGTTTAAAGATAAGATGTTATTTTTTCTGATACCCAGGCTCCATCTAGCTTCTTTCCAATATAATCTTCATTTGTTTGAGGACATGCACACACCATATATACTCATGCATAAGCCTAGTTTTTCAGCACATTTTTAATGCAGTTTCTGTGGTAAAATTAGGTAATTAGGTGCCTCGGCTGATACTCGGGTCGGCTTATTCTCAAGTATATATGGTGTGTGTGTGTGTGTGTGTGTGTGTGTGTGTGTGTGTACGAATCATAAATATTTCCTCTGGCAATGAAGAGATTTAGGTGATGCTGGACATGAAAGCTTGCTCCTAGTGGCTTTTTTAATATACTATTCACATATCATACACTTCCATGGTTAAATTACTTCTAAAATGAGTTGTATATACATGTGTTAGTCTGGGTACATTAGAGGAACAAATTCACAGAAACTCATGTATGAGAGAGTTTTATATAAAGGTTAAGTGCACATCAAGAAAACATCCCAACCCAGTGCTGCCCAAGCCCACAAGTCCAACATTAACCATATGTCCAACACCAGTCCACAAAGTCCTCCTCCATCTCACAAAACAGACTGAATGATGCCGACTGCAGGAGGAAAGCCAAGTCAGTGAATGTGTAAGCATCTCAGTGCTGGCAGGGGTCTCCACATGGCTGCTCCAGAACCCAGAGCTGCATCGGGGTAGGTCCATGTGGCTTCTCCTTGGGGATGTCTTGCAAGGAAGTGAGCCTTGCCAGCTAAAGCAGGGAACTGGATAAGGTAGCTGCACCCTGGTCTGACCATCAGAAAGCAAGAGACCCAAGAACCAGAAAGGCGAAGCTCACCGAGCCATTTATCTCTCTGCCCTTCAATTAACCCCACATGTGTTTATTGGCCAGTTTGGCACAATAAACTTTAACTATATAATATACATAATCACAATCATATCTGGTGCTCCCTCCCCACTCCTGGATTCATTTTTCACCCCCCAAACTTCCTCACCCTCCATCTCTCTACAATGAAATACCTTGACAAGGAATGCAGACTCACAATGGCTATCAGCCTGTGCACAGTTCAATGATCATACATCATTAAAAGTTAAATAATGCCCAACTTTTTTTTCCCAACTTTTTATCTATTACCCCTCCCAACACTGACATCACTGTAGACCAGACCATTGCTGCTATACGACAGTGCTTTGAATGCTAAATCATAAACTTGAACATCTATGAGTGAACATCTGAGGATGATACCATCAGCAAATTATCTTCCACAACATTCTCTGTAGTACTCATTGTAACTAACAGGGAGGTGTACAAACAACACAAAAGCCCTGCGTCCATCGTGTTGGAGGGCACTCAAAATAGGCCTGGACAGAACTGCCTCTTCAAAGGGGACTCAACCTTCCTCATGTAGGTTTCAGGACCTTCTTTTGCTGATGTGACTTGACACAACATGAGAAGAAACAACTGCAAACACCCATTAACAATCAAAATGTGAAATGTACAAAATCTAAAACTAGGAAAATTGGAAGCCAGCACAAAGGAAATAGAACGCAAAAAGTGGATATCCTAGGCATTAGGAAGCAAAACAGACTGGTTTTGAAATAGCGATTTTGAAATAGTTCATTGTAGTGTCTACTCTCAGAAAACATTTATTAAAGAGGAATGACATTGAGTTCATCATTAAAAAGAACATTTCATTGGTAATGCATCTCTAATGTGAACCAGAGACCTATCTACACCATAGATATAGCAATGGATTGGGGGCTTACAATTAATCATTGCCCTAACCTGAGAACAATTAGTTCTTATGACATGTTCCAACTTGATACTCTCCATCATGAAGATATCACTAAAGATATGGGTGCTATAGCAAAATTGGGTGAATAAATCAGATGGTGCTTGGAGATCAGAAAGAACAGTGTCTGGGGTCTTGAAGGTTTGTCTTAAAACAAGCAGCTATCCAAGTGGGGGGTCAACTATATCTACAATGGAAGAAGTACACCAACCTGTGTAATCAAGTTTGCAGAAAGCTAAGGATGACAGTAGAAAGCCAAAATCCACTTGCTGCATCCTCACATGGATTAAGCCTCTGGTGAATCCCCTCTGACCATAATCCAGGGATGCAAATAGCCTTGCTATCAGACGAGAGCATTGTAAGTCCATTATGGATGCTGTAGCTAAGCTAAAATGTAACTCCTTATCATTTGCTCTCTCTTTTGACCCATTTTAAAGTTGTTTCTGTTAGTATTTTCTGTTTTCTTTTCTATTGAGGTTTTTCTCATTTCTATTTTGTAATTATTGTTGGTTTCTTTGTCTGTGTGTTTGCTTGCATCCTGTTTGTGTTTTGTGTGATTTTCTGTATAAAAAAATTGAGGATAGGTAAATCTATAGAGACAGTAACTGGATTAATAATTACCTAGGGGCATGGCTGGGGAGGGTGGGGGTGGGGGGAAATGGGGAGTTAACAACAATGAATGTAAGAAAGAAGAAAATGTTCTGAAATTGGTTGTGGTGATAATTGTACAACCCATGTTAATATGATTGAACAATGAACTTGCATGACACAGGGATTATATGCCAATAGAACTTTTTAAAAAAAGATCATTTCAAGGTTTATCCTAGGGTACAACGCTGTCAGTGATAGGATAATATCCAGACAGCTAAAAGGAAGACCAGTTAACATGATTATTTTTCAAATTTACACACCAATCAAAACTGAAGATAGATAATTTCTAACAACTTCTGCTGTCTAAAAATGGTCAAACTTGCACTCAGGATGTATTGATAATTACTGGTGATTAGAATGCAAAAGATGGAAACAGAGATCAGCAGTTGGCAACTATGGCCTTGGTGATAGAAACAATACAAGAAGAGATCACACAGAATTTTCCAAGACCAATGACTTATTCATTGCAAACTCTTTTTTTTTTTTCTCGACAAGACAAGAGTAGGCACTCTGGCAACACAGTGGTTATGCATTCAGCTACAATCCCCATGGTCATCAGCTAAAAACCACCAACTCCTTCCTCAGGAGAAAGAGGGGGCTCGCTACTCTCCTAAAGAGGTACAGTCTCAGAAACTCACTGGGGCAGTTCTAGCCTGGCCTAAAGGGTTACTGTGAGTTGGTATCGCCTCAATGACAGCAAGATGCACAAGAGCAGGTTTAGAAACCTCAAGAAGCATTTCTACTATGTCCTATAGAGGTCACCATGAATTGAAATTGACCCGACAGCAGTGGGCTACCCATCTGGGGCCTGCCTGCTGAAACACTCAGGAATCAAACCATCTACATTTGTGGAAAGAAACAATGTAGACGTTCAATATCATCAGCCAGGACGCTGGCACCTAAATTAGTAAATTAACTTATTTATGCAAAGTCAGCCCAACGGAGCATCTGGCAGCCTGCAGGCAAGTAAGATGCAGAACTTCTTATGCAGAATCGCTGGGAACTGCAGATCAGCCAGTTTAGCCACCCAATAAATAGATTTTCCCCTAACAATGAGATCCCTGCTGACCTGGTCCCCTTTTCTTCTTACACAGAGGCAGAGAGGCAAAGGCAGAAGGAGTTGGAAATGCAGTTAGCGGAAGAACAAAAACGCCTGATGGAAATGGCTGAAGAAGAGCGGCGAGAGTACCAGCGACGGAAACAGGAAGAAGAGGAGAAGGCTAGACTTGAGGCAGAGGAGAGGAGGCAAAAGGAAGAGGAGGCAGCAAGGCTGGCTCTGGAAGCAGCTAGGAAGCAAGCCCAGGAACTAGCCAGGTAAGGGGTCTTTAGGCAGTGGGCGCCATGCAGGGCTTTTCAAGGGCTTGATGGTCTGGCATCAGCCTCCCACTGCTTTTAGACAAATGAAGTTTTCTCATTTTCCAAAGCTTCTTAGGAGAACTAAATAACAAAGAGGTTTTGTTTTTTGCTGCAAATATCATAGGATTCTTTATAGTAAGACTTATACTCGAGGATTCATTGTAGATTGAAGCTTGTAGGGAGTTTAGAGATCATCTTTCTTAGTCCTTTCATTTGCAGATGAGAAAACTGAGTCTCAAAGAGGGAAAGGCTCTGAGTCAGGGCTTAACAGTGAGTCAGGGACAGTGCTGGGACCAGCTCTAAGCCCCCTGATTCTGAAGCCCCACTGCTCTTCGCTAAAAGTATTTATTGGGTGCTTAGCTTGTGCCAAACACTGATCTAAACTCCGTGAATTCAGGAGTCAGAAAGATAGACTGGGCCTCTTCTCCCACAACATTTACATTCTAGGAGTTGGAATGGGGAGATAATCTCTAAACAAATAAAATTGTATTTTCTTAGGTTGGTAATACATGCTATGTAGGGGATAAAAGGAAGATGTGTTAGGGTTATAAGTGGTTTGTTTTAGATTGGTCAGAGCAGGACCTGTCAGAAGAGATGACATTTAACTGAGACCTGACTGATGAAAAGCCAACCCCATGAAGATTTGGGGAAAATGTCCCAGCAGGTAAAGAACAGGCACAGCCGCGGAGAAAGGAATGAGAGGGCACGTTGGTGAAATACAATAGAGTTGGCCTGGCTGGAATGGAGTACTGGGGGGCAAAGCAGACCTCCAGACGAGGCTAAGGAAGTGGGCCAACACCAGCTCTCCATGAGGTCCTTCTTAGGAGAAAGCACCTAGGGTCAAAGTCAGTAGGGGCCAAAGGCACAGCCTTTTTTATTGTCCGACATAAGCAATGATCCTTGCAACGTCTGGATAATAGAATATCTTTAATAACGTGTGCTCGATTGACTCTGTTTAAAAACTGAGCTCTCCATAGCTGCTGTGTCATTCATTTCCCCTCCCAATTTCATGAGAGAAACAAAGAATCATCCATCAAAATCGAACAGTGAAGAGGCAAAGACCAGAACCCGGTGTGATTCCAACCTGAACTGTAGACACTTTTCCCCCTGAAAGCTATTTCCACAGTGCAAGCCTATGCTACGCTAATCACTCCCTCTCGGGACACAATGAGAAAGCAGCCAAAAAACTCTCCTTCCAGGTCTCTCAGCCAACCTGGAGTTGTTCCTCCCGGGACTTTCCTCAGGTGCTATGTGAATGACAAAAGACACCATTAGGAAAAGTCTTAAAATTAAATATAAATTCTATATTTAATGTTTCACAGTAGGAGGGCCTAGTGGAGACCAAAAGCAAGCTCTTAAGAGTTCCAACTTCCTGCAAAAGAAAACAGTCGCAGAAAAGGAAACCGAGCACTTTGGATAAGACAGGTCCCACTAGCTGAAAGCCAAAACCCAAATCAACTAAGTGTGCAGTGGCTTCACCTCATCCTCCTTGGTGTGCCCTGGGCCCAGGCACTTGAATTGCTCTGGGGCTGTTCCCTAAAAACAGTAGAGTCCCTTCCAGGAACACAAGTCTAAGAACTGGGAACTATACCTTTCCTTCCACTTTGCCAAGGGAAGGCCCATGATATTCTAAATCTATGTAAAAAAAATTTCTAAATGAACAGTCATGGTTTCCCACCAAAATGCATAATCAACAGCCCCAAGCCTAAATGAAGCTTGCTCAAGTCCAAAGTGGTACTAGTTTACAAGGACAATGTCTAGGGGGCCTACTCTGTGTGGGGACTGTGGTGGGGTTATCTTAAGGTGACCAGATTTTAACATTGGTATAGCAGGACACCATTGATAAAACTCATATCCTGGGGAAATAGCCACATGGCAGCCGAAAACCGTATACCCTAGCTTGTCATGCATTCTTTCCAAAAACTGGGACTTTTTCAAAATGCTGCGGGACGCGGGAAAAATTGTTAAAAATCGGGACTGTCCTGCCCAAAGCAGGACGTCTGGTCACCTTCGGTTATCTCCTCAGGCAAAAAGCTGCTTTGGAGGAACAGCTTCATTTCTGGCAAGAGCTCCAGAGAGAAGCCAGCGGCCTGCAGTGGACACACAACATCTCCAGACCATGGGTCTACTCCTATTTCCATCTTCTACAACTACCCAGGCCGTAAGGCAACCAAAACCTACAAAAGTAAGTTGGCAGGTCGTTACAGAAACAGTAGCTTCCTTTTAGAATGACGTTTCATTAGTTCTCTTTTACCTAGTTCACCTCAACCTACGATTTTCTCTACTCTAGGGTCTCTACTCCATTTCCAAGACCTCTTGTGGGTGACACAGTAAGCTGCTAACCCTGAGGTCAGTGGTTTGAAATCACCAGCTACTCTGCAGGAGAAAGATGAGACTTCCTAGTCCCATAAAAACTTAACAGACTCAAAAACCCACAGGGGCAGTTCTATTCTGTCCTATAAAGTTACTGCGAGGCAGAAGCGACTCAAGGGCAGTGAGTTTTCTGAGTCTTCCTAACACGCAAACTCTTTGCTCAGCCCATGTACCTCTGTTCACCTAAGTCCTTCATGTTCTCTCAAACCACATAATTATATCTCAGAAACTCAGGTAGCTGAAACTGCTGATCATGTTTAAAACACTGTCTTAGAATAATCAAAGTATTTCATTTCAATGCATATGTATCTGAGAAGTTGCAAGTGACTGGAAATAAAAACAGTAAAATACGTCATACAAAAAGCTCTGAATTAACTGAAAGGAACTTGATGTTTTACGGCAATTTTCATTTTAAATCTCTTTATAACACAAACCATTCATTTCATCCTGAGACGCAAAATTCAATATTTAAAACAAGGTGTTTGAAATTACTTGACAAATATTCAAAATGAGCTGTTTTGTGAGGCTATTCTCACATCCCCAGTGTAAGGCACTCTACTCTAGATGCTAAAGCTACACTGTCCAGTATGATAGTCACTGGGCGTGCAGGAAGGAGGCCTACTGGTGCAGTGGTTAAAAAAGATCCGGGATTTAAACCAGCCAACTGCTCGGCAGTAGAAAGATGTGGGTGATAGTATACTTCCATACAGGTTAGAGTCTAGGAAAGCCTACAGAGCAGTTCTACTCTGTCTTCTAGGGTTGCTATGAGTCAAAACCTATTCAATGGCAGCCAACAGGGGACACCTGGTCGTTTCAAGTGAAAAGTCTTCACTTACAGTGGCCACATTTCCAGCACTCAACGGCCACATATATTTATCATACTTGACAACACATACACTGAACATTTCTATCATCACAGGAAGTTCTATTGGACAACATTGTACTGGAGGCATGAAAATGAACAAGTCTGAATTTTTTTGTTCCTAGCTGTACCTCAAAGAAATACACACACACACACACACACACACACACAGCATTTTTAAGTCACACTATCAGGATTCTACCAACTTGATCCTTTACCTTTAGCATCTCTCTTTCATATATAATCAAACATCCATTTTAACAAAGGGATCTGTCCCACAATAATGGACCATAAAGATGAAAGAGTTTCAGCAACTAAGATATTTACTAAGAGGATGTTGGGTGTCCCTGGTGGTGCGATTGGTTAAGCACTCAGCTATTAGTCAAAGGGTTAGAGGTTTGAACCCACCCAGAGGACCTGGGAAGACAGGCCTGCCAATCTGCTTCTGAAAGATCATGGCCTAAAAACCCTGCAGAACACATTGACTGCACCATGGAGTCGCGCTGAGCCAGAATTGACTCACCAACAACTTAAAAGCATTTTAAAGTCGCATCTAAACCTGAATCTCGGCCATTCCTTTTATTTGAATACATATTTTTAATTCCTTACTTTCTATAAAATTGAAATACAAGGACCAAAACACTGGATAATATCAGCTAGAGTGAATTTATGTCACTAACTTTTTCTCAAGCTCCTAACTTGCACAGTCAGTCAATTCATTAATACTTAATCAGTAGACAAAGGGATAATTCAAACAATTCAAGAACAGAATAAAGAATCCTTGAGGAGAACATCCCTGTGGGAGAAATGGCCGTCACTGTGTGTCTCCTGTAACAAATTGAGGGTGCTGCATTCAAGCACCAGACAGAGTGACTATGCAAAATGTTACTCACAGTCCCTTCCAAATCTGGTAGCCTATTAAATTGTTGCTGTGAAATGCCTATTTTATCCACCAGATAAGCACATGTTTTATGTTAACCATAGAAGACTACAATACATGTAGAGCAGTTCAATAGACTAAAAACAAGGTGACTTCCCCCAAATCGGCACGTGACCAAGGCAAAGGATGCTACTGAGAAGTATGCAAGAATAAAGGGGGGAAAAAAAGAATAAAGGGGAAATGGTTGGCTTGGATGCTAACTACTGTAACATCGCCAATCCCACAACAGCAGCAATAACAATAATGTGTGAATAGGTACATAAGGACCTACATACAGGATTACACCCACATGCATGTGTTGGGTTGTTAGGTGCCTTCAAGTCAGTTCTGACTTGGAGCAACTTTATGTTTAACAAAACGAAGTGCTGCCTGGTCCTGTGCCATGCTCACAATTGTTCACTTTGAGCCCATTGTTGCAGCCACTGTGGCAATTTTTCACTATCCTTCACCTTTACCAGACATGATATCCTTTTCCAGGAATTGGTCTCTTGATAATGTCCAAAATACATTAGATGAAAAAGCATTCTGGCTGTACGTTTTCTAAGGAGGATTTGTTTGTTCTTCTAGCAGTCTATGTGGGTAAACAGCATAGGAGGGAGGGGCTATAGCTGACTTCATTTGCCTCCCTATTGCCATGAGGCAGGGTGTCAGACATGGCGGCTCCACTCTCCATCCTTTACCTATTCTGACACCAATAGTTCCTCCTACAGCACGTTTCTTCTATGTGTGTTCAATATTCATTGCAGTGGCCACACAGAACTCACAGGCAAAACTCACAATTAGGGAAGTGAATAGGTTACCACAAGCCAAGATCATAAAGGAAAATAAGGACACAGTCACTGGTCCACAGCGACACTTCTCCAGCAATAGCCAAGTCTCTCTCCAGACCTCAGCCTCTCAGCCACCTGGCCCCTTGCCTCTGTGGCCCAGGAAGCCAGGCAGCTACTCTGCCTTACAGCCCATACCCATGGCACTGCCCTTCTACTCTATCTCCTATCCTCCCTGTCACAGCCTGGCTCCTTGGCTCTGTCCCATCGTCTCGGGTTACAACCTCTGATGCCTCCAATCTCAGCCTTCACCACTTCATAGATCTTGAGCCTGCTCCACTAGTGATTCTTCTTCTAATGGTCTTGGGATGTCTCTGTCTCCCAGCTTCTGAGATGGCTCTGATCCTGTAACAGGAGACTGCCTCCCAAATGGGATTACAACCACAGGCAGAGAATGGAAGGGATTTGGGTTCACAAAGGCCACATTAACTATATTTCCCAATAGTACTTTCAAGGTTCTTCACCAGCACCATAATTCAAATGAAATAGATCAGAAATAAAAGCCAAGTTTCCTTGGTCTTTCTTATTCAATGTCCAACTTTCACATGCACATGAGGCAAATGAAAACCATCATGGCTTGGGTCAGGCCTTAGTCAGCTTCATCCTCAGTGACATCTTTGCTCCTCAAAGCTTTAAAAAGGTCTGGTGCAGCAGATTTGTCCACTGCTATTTATCATTTGGTTTCTTGAGTGCTGCTTCCATCAGCATTGATTGTGGATCAGATCAAAGTGAAATCTGACTTCAATCTTTTCTCCCTTTATCACCTTATCTATAGGTCCAGTTGTAAGGATTTTTGTTTTCTTTACATTGAATTGCAATCCATACTGAAGGTTGCAGTCCTCCGTCTACATCAGCAAGTGCTTAAAATCCACCTATTAGCAAGCAAGATTGCATCACCTGCATATCCCAAGTTCTTTTTTTTTTTTCATATCCCAAGTTCTTAATAAACCTTCCTGCAATCCTGATGACGCATTCTTGAAATATCTCTAAAGATATTTCAACCCTCATGTACACCTTTCTTAATTTTAAACCATGCAGTATTCCCTGGTTCTTGGTCCATGTACAGGTTCCTGATGTGTTCTGGAATGAAGTGTTCTGGAATTCCCATTTTTCTTAGTGCAATCCATAGTTTATGATCCACACAGTCAAATACCTTTGCATAATCAGTAAAACACAAGTAAAAGTATTTCTGGTATCAGCTGCATTCAGCCTAGATCCATCTGATGGACAGCAAGGACAACCCTCATTGTTCATAATTTTCTCAATCCAGTTTGAGTTTCTGGCAGCTTCTTGTTGACGTATTGCTGCAATTGGTGTTAGATGATCTTCAGCAAAACTTTACTTGCATGTGATATTCAATAATCTTCTAATTCTGAGTCACCTTTCTTTGGAATGGTGGATCTCTTTTATACAAATTATGGATATCTTTTAGTCCATTGGCCAGGTATTTTTAAAACTTCTTGGCATAGTGAGGGAGTACTTCCATTGCTTCATCAGTTTGCTAGAGCATTTCCATTGGTATTCCATCAATTCCTGGAGCCTTGTTTTGAGTGAATGAATGCCATTAGTGCAGCTTGTATTTCTTCTGTATCATCAGTTCTTGATCATGTTAGTTCCTAAAACGGTGGAATGTTGACCAGTTGTTTTTGAAACGACTCTGTATTCTTTTGATCTTCTTTTGATGCTTCCTCTATTCAATATTTTGTCTTAGAATCTTTCAATTTTGTAACTCAAGGCGTTACTTTTTTTCTTCAATTATTTATTTTAATATTAAAAAAACACTGCCAATGAGTCACTTCTGACTTATTATAACCCTATAGGACAGACTAGAATTGTTCCTGTAATTCTTTACAAGAGTAGAAACTCTCATCTTTCTCCTGCACAGTGGCTGGTGATTTCAAACTGTTGACCTTATGGTTTGCAGCCCAACACCAGGACTCCTCACCTGATGTAGTCAACATCAGTGCATACATGTAATTCACTGCCATTAAGTTGATTCTGACTCATAACAACCCTGTAGGGCAGGGTAGAACTGGCCCTGTGGGTTTCCAAGACTGTAACTCTTTATGGCAGTAGGAAACATCCTTTCTCCAACAGAGCGGCTGGTGGTTTCAAACTGCTGACCATGGGATTAGCAGCCCAATGCACAACCCACTATGCCACTAGGGCTCTTTTGATATATATATATTCCAAAATCAAACCCATTGACATCAAGTCAATTTTGACTCATAATGACCCTATAAGACAGAATAGAGCTCTTTCTGGGGTCCCAAGATTGTAACCCTTTACACAAGCAGACAGCATCATTTTTCTACCACAGAGCAACTGGTAGGTTCAAACTACTAATCATACAGTTAGCAGCCCAATGTGTACCCCACGTGCCATTGGACTCCTATATATCAGTGTAACCAAACCACACTGCCATAAATTCCACCTTATAGCAACCTATATGGGGTTTCTAAAGCAGTAAACCTCGACGTGACAGCAGGAAGCTTCATCTGTCTCCCTAACAGTTCAATGATTCCCCAACACTGCCACCAGGGCTCCTTACATATAGATGTAGTTGTGGATTATTTCTACACACATATTCGTGCATGCTGCATGTACATATTATCCATACAAGGCATCAAAAAGTTAATGGAAAATATTTTTTTAACTCCATTTCCCACGATCTTTTTCAAGTTGCCTCACATATTTGAGGGTAAATCATAAAGTTTTGCTACAAGGGTTTATTCCAAAAAACATATATTTCAATCTCTGCAGTTAGTAGATAATTATAGAGTTCCCCCAGCCGTATACTTGTCTCAATAGGGTCCCTTCAGGGGGATAAAAATGTGCAATGAAAAAGAACAATTTGAGATCAAAGGTAGTATCAAACTTTAACAAAACTCAAGTGGGACATCTTCCAAATCATTGAAGTTTTGTAATATTTACGGCAATGTTGCTTCTCATAAAACAAGTTTTGAGATGGATTAAACATTTTACAGCAAGTAGAGAAGGGCTCAAAGATGAATTCCAGGTGGATAGGTCAGCTCAGAAAGTTATGGTAACTTTTTTTTTAAGGGGGTCGGGGGAGGACTCCAAAGAGGTAATCTTGATCACTTTTCATGGACACAGGATAACCGTGGAGGCTTATTGCAAAGTTTTA